TTTCCTAATAGTTCCAGAATCACATTGTGCCCTGGATTTGCCCATGGGAAGCTAGGAGGCCTCTTGCATCTTGCTTCTATATCTCCTCACTCTCTATTTATTTAGTTTAATTTTTGGGTTGACATTTGTAAATTGTTTATGGCTGGTATCTTTATTGTTAGTATTGAGAACCCTTAATAAATAACTGCATCTCAGCATAATCTTCCAGGTATAGCTGAGTTTTGAGTAATGAGTCTGACGCAAGATCCTACGTCTTCAATTTATTTGGGCCTACCTGGCCCACCTCTGTTACTTTGTCACTGGCCTATAGTATTGTTTATGAACCATTGGCAATCTTAGTGTTGGAATACCAGGAAGAACAATTTATTAGAACAATTACATTACCTTGGCTAATGTAGTACAATCTGTAATAACAATAGCATCAAGTACAGCCTAGAAAATGACAAACTGAGGTAACTTAATTTGCTGACTTTCACCATAAGAACTAGATTTGTAGTTATGTAACAAAATCCAAAGCAAGTCAGAAAATTATATGCCTTAAATATGCCTTCAATGTGGCAACTTTACTCTTAGGGGAGAAAAAATTTAAAGGCATTAGGGGAAAACATAGAAACAGAAGAAGGTCAGAAGTAAAGCTGGAGAACAAAAGACTACATGAACCGAAGAAAACTGGTGAAGAAGATAGGAGGGAAAGAGAAGGAAGAAATACAAACATGGACAGAGCAACAACAAAGCTTATAAACAATGTTCACACCCATGAAAACATGAAAAAGCAATCAGGAAAAAAACAAACAACAACAAAAAACAGTAGAGGAAAACAATCGCCACTTCAGGGCATGTCTCTGCTGTCACTAGTAGTCAAGGTAGGCAGACAGAGTCCAGATCTGATTAATTCCAGCAAGCCAGCTGTAGCTTTACAGCAGGGTAGTGGGTAATCCCAGCAGGTCTGCTTGCTTAGCTTTGCCAATGTTCAGGATGATTTCTGGTTTGAGCTTGGAACTCAATGTGTTCAGTCTGGAACACCCTGCTTGCCTCCAGGTGGCTAGAAGTTGGCTCCCTGCCACCTTGAACTTAGCTCCTTGACCTCCTGCCAGCCTGAATTCACCTTGCCCAGCCGCTGGAGGAGCTAGGGGGAGCCAGCCCACAACCACTCTGAGTCCCAAGCATGCTTGGCCTCTCTCTAGGAAGCCTAGCAGCCAGCTGCCCTTTCCCAGGGGAATCTGGACTCAAACAACTCCCCAGCCACTGCAGTCCCTTGTGTGCACTGCTCTGTCCCTTAGTACACTCTTCTATGGAGCTCTCCAGCACTGCCAGTAGTCACCAAGCAACATCCGCAGGAGTGAGCAGCCCCTCCTGTGCAGTGAGTCAGGGCTCAGGGCGAAAGTGCCACCCGCCAGCTCCTTCTTCTACCTGGAGTTCTCTCTCTTCACTCTCCCCACATGCTTCAATTCCTGCTTCTGGTCCTTCCTGGGTCATGGGAACCCACTTTCCTCCTCTTTTTCCTTTTGCTATATTCCAGCATCTGGACACCAAATCTTGGAAAGTCTGTTTCTCTGCTGTTCATCGCTCCAACATCTTCCCAGAAGTGCATATCACAGACTTTCTGCAACTTACTTTAGCTTTCTGATTTTGTCCATGTCTTTCTGTTTTGCATTCTATCAAGTCTTTCTTACCAAAAATATTTTCTTACACATCTTTCTTTACCACTCTCTCTTTTATACTTACTAGCTTCTTTCTGCCTTTTTCTCATTCTTTCAATTTATTTCAAGCTACCAAATTTTTTAATTTGGACAAATTACACATACGCCCTAACTTCTAGGGGCCTGACCAGGTCCTTCAGCTGCCTGTATGAGAGGCACAGCAAAAGATGAAACAAGACAAAAACAATTTTAGGAATGCATGAGCACAGGGTCTGGGAGGTCAGTGCCTCTGGGTGGGCAAACTCAAAGACCTCTCGGTTAGCACACTTTATCAGCCAGCAAACGCAGGAAAGAGAAGCAAACAGACATCAGGCTAGACCTTGCACTGGGTAGGTAGAGATGAAAAATGAGAAACACACACACCAAAACTCAAGAGGTACAGTCAAAAAAATAAGAGGAGAGAGAAGAGAGGACGTCACTTTAAATAGTAAGATCAGAGAAGCCTCACGGGGAGAAGGATCTCTATGCAGATATCTAATGGGGTGAGGAGAAGCCACAGACCTGCAGGAGGAGGACTTGGACAGCCAAGCCTGGGCAGCTTCCAGAGTATACTCAGCTGCTGGTGGGACCTCATGCAGTGCTGATGCCTGACTGAGATGGAAGGATGAGGCCCGTGAGGAAGACAGGAAACAGGAGGGCAGCCAGGCTTGATGGCTTAGGCCTATAACGCAGCACTCTCGGATACCAAGACAGGACGACACACTTTTGAACTCAGCTCAGGCAATTTAGTGACTTAGGGAAACCTCTTAAAATTTAAAAACTTTTAAAAGTACTTGGGATGTAGCTTAGGGCAAAGGTCCTGAGTTCAACCCCCCCCCCATACTGGAGAAAAAGAGCCTGGGTTTAGGAAAGAAAAAAAGGAAGATGAAGCAGACTGGAGAGAACTAGATTTAGTCCCCCAAGTTTAAAGGAACAAAAGTATAGGGACTTGTTAGTCTCTCAGTGTATCCTAGGGGAAAAAACAATAGCAGGAATGAGGAAAAGATAGACAAGAGACAAAAGCTGAGGTCAGGTGGAGGCCTATTCAAATGATTGGCAAAGGACCTGAAGAACAACAACAGAGGAATTTGTTTAGTCAGTATGATAAGACAAAGTTAGTATCATAAGACACAAGGTTGCCTAGCAACTGTAACCAAAATTGTCCGGGCAGGATGCTTTTCTCAAGACTGAGGCAAGCTGATTGCTTTAGGCACTATGGCCTTGTCCTGCCCCCACACAAAAGTCCAATTTTCAGTTTCAGCTGCTCCCAACATAAAGGAGAAAAACAGAAGAGCAAAAAAAGAGTGGGCATCATCCAGAGCCTCCCTCCTGTGCTCACAGCAGAGCTGAGAAGAGAAAGCCATGTGGAGCTCAGCACTCAGGCCCCTCGGCCAGTGTTACCTAATAGAGAGCTACCTACACACTATAGAGTCTAGAGCAGACCAAGCTCACTGACTGTGAAAACACCAGCTGGTGTAGTGGGGTGGGGGGCCAGGTGGACTGCGGGGAGAGGCCAAGGATCTTCTGCTGCACCTGTAAGTGCTTGAAGTACGTGAGGCTCCTGTCATGTGTCTGGGTGGGGCTTGAGGTCAGGGCTCAGGCCCACAGGGACTGGGTAGCCCAAGTGGTGACTGTTCTACATCTTGGTGGCAAGGTCACTATGGCAAGGTTTACTGAACCCCTCAGTCTGGACACAGACATGGAGCACATCGCCATATGCAAGCACCCATTCACGGTGTCCATCAGGGACAGAGGAGCAGAGTCTCAGTGCAGCTCTTCAAGGGGAGAAGCAGGAGCTACCCATGGGATCTGATGCACACTCCTTAGCGGCCCCACCCACCTCCACACTGCTCCCCACCCCAGGGTCCTGCCCCCAGCGTCCAGGCTGAGGCAGCAGATTATTCCTGCCCTGCCAGAGACCCCTGGCTCCTTGCTCTTAGGACACAGGCCCCTGCTCCAGACCTGTCCCTGGCTTCACGCTCAACTCAACTGGCTCCATGTCCTGGCCTAGGCAGAACTCTAGTCTTCTTGGTTCCCAAGAGTCCTCTGACCAGTGTCCAGTGTGCACACCTCTGTCCCAGGTCCTTCCATCTCCTTCCACCAGAGCTTCCATGATTCCCTGATCTGAAGTGCTGTCTCCAATCCCCACATTCCCTCCCTAAAGCTGAGGCTCAGCCACCACAACATAGAATCTGGGGTGTAGAAATGGGGGCAGTTCCCATGAACACCTGCCCTGCAAGTCACAAAAGCCCATATTCTAAAGACCACACACACACACTCAGTATAAGGTGCTACATGAAAAATCATTTCAGGGCTCAGTGGACTAAAGTGCCTGCTTAAGCAGAGCTCAGCATCTGGGGTTTGATTTCTGGTGTGCCATGTTAGCCCCAACCTCAAGGTACACTGAGACAATGGTTGAGACTGGGCATGGTGGCACGCACCTGTAATCCCAGCATTTGGGAGGCTGAACACAAGAGGATCACTATGAATCTTTTCTACATAGTGAGACCCTGTAGACTCTGTCCTAAATACAGAAAGAAAAAAATAAAATGAGCTAAAACTTTTTTTTAAAAGTTGTGTGAATCATGAAATGACATTTATTATAAAGGTTAGACATTTTATTAACATTATTGCTCCTGTTCACTTAACTTTTCTGATGTGTCTACCAGAAGTTTAAAGCCACACATGGTCAGTGTTCCAGTTCTGTAAAGGCCCCACCAGGTGTCCCCTCCAAGTTCAGCCATTGTGCCCATTTCTGTCCTGGACCACGTGGCTGGGAGTAGGTCCTGGGAGATCTGCTGACTGACACTTAAGCAGAACCCCTGTCCTTTCCCAAGTAAAGTGGAGTCACTCCTGCTTGGCAGAGAAATTTCTCAGGACAGGGCAGGACCTGAGCTTCCTGGACTTCTGCAATCACCTTTTTCTTGCCAGAAGTCATTGCATTTGACCTTGCAGGCCCCTAACCTCAGAACCTCCTGGAAAGCCAAACCAAGACAGCTCTGTCCCTTTTCATGTAGAAATAGAGTTCTAACTCATAGGATTTAAGGACCAGCGATTTGCAGAATAGGGAGATGGAGCCTTGGGGGAGATCAAGAGAGGGATAAGTAAGGGGTTATGGGGAGCAGGACCAGAAGAGGACACAGGAAGAAGAGGAGAGAGCACGCCCCCAGCCTGGAGGAAGGAGGGACAGAGGAACAGCAGCGCCAGCACTGGAGGGGACAGTAGAGGGGAGGGGCCAGCAGGAAAGCAGGGGCTGGCTGGAGGCTGGGAAAGCAGCAGGGAGGGGCTGGGACCTGGAGGATAAAGCAGGGCCAGCCTAGGCCAGTGCTGTGGCCCTGGACCGCTACCCTCTGTGTCCTACTGCTCCAACTTCGTGTCCTATGGCCATGGCCTCATCCCTGCGTGTCCCTCTGCTGCTCCTGGCTGCCCTGCTCTTGGGCCTGGCCATGACCCCCATGGCCTTGCTGTCCTCCAGATCTTCACTACATCTAATGGGGAACCTGGAAGATGGAGACCCTAATGATGAAGAGGTGCAATATGTAGTGGACTTCGCCCTCGAAGAGTACAACCAGGGCAGCCAAGACCCATACCTCTTCCGCTTGTCACGGGTGGTGCGTGTCCGTCAACAGGTGCGTGGTCACTAGGGCTGAGGAGGGCTGCCCAGGAAGTGTTGTCCACCTGCACACCCTGCTGCTCCTTTCCCTCTGCTCCCTGCCCCCCACCCTGTCCTGTCCCCACCCAGGTGGGCTGCATGCTCTGCAACCCGTGACCTTTCCCAGGAATCCTTCCCACAGTGGACTACCCCTGTATTTTTCACCCATTCAGTCCATAATATTTTTCTGTTCCTGTAGTCCTTGGTGAATGTGCCCCAGAATTCCTTGCATGAAATCTAGCCTAGACCCTGGCACGATCAGTGTCCCACACTTGGCCCTTAGACACGGCTCCAATTCCAACTGGCTGGGACAACAGATGCCAGGCCAGAGTCAGGGTGCCCTGGGTTAATGCTGACCACCTCCTTCTGGTCCTGGATCTCTGAGAACTGTGAACCAAATGACCACACAGCAGGGTGAGAGATCTATGCCCATCCCTCCTGTGGTCATCCTGGGCCACATGGGCCTTGCTCCTGGATTGAGTGGATTCCCCTGATCCTTGCAATGCCCCCTACAGTGGCCACTGCCCACCCCGGAGAACCTGCACTTTACCCTCAGGACCAGGCTGACCTCTAGAAGCCATGTACACACTACTCAGTGGCCTCAGAGCCTCACACAGTGTGGCTGATGTCCACTGAGGACATTCCCAGGCCCTGCATCCTGTCCTGACTCAGCCGCCTCTCCCTGGAGCAGCTGCTCTGTCTCATGACCTCAGCCTGTCAGTGTCTGCCCAGCTGAGGGGTCAATCGTAATCCTAGGGGGACTACTAGCAAGGATTGATGGGGTGTGAGGGCATCCCAAAGATGACACTGGCTGTGACATTGCTGCCACCTCTCCATGTGTGTTCTTGATGACATCACGCAGTGAACCCCTAAGGTCCCTAAGAGTCCAGGGAATCTCCACTGTGAACCTCAATGGTCCCTGTGGATAGCAGGGTGCCCTCTGCCGCTGTACCAGGGAAAAGGACCCTGTGGGTGGGGGACCAAGTCCTTGATGGATCAATTGTGCTTCAGCCTCAGGTTGCAGCTCTCCTGGAATAGCATCCAATGTGTCCTGCTGGACACAGAGCCCACTGGGGTGGAGCTGCCCATCCTCCTGGGAAGGATGTGCTGGCTCAGTGTGCAGGCTGCTCCCTAAGTCAGCCTCCCTCCCAGAGCCCAAATAAGAGGGTGCAGTCTTCACTCCTACCTGCCCAATCCCCTTTCTGTCTTACTCTGGTGCACAAGACTGCTCTTTGTAGCTCCTTGGAAAGGAACAGGTTGAACACAGGGTGGGCCCATCACACAGGATGATCTGGAGCAGAGACGGATGCATGGGTTTGGCCTGAGCAGAGGCAAGCACAGTGAGTCCAGTAACTGTGGCTGTGAGGTGGACAGAGTGCTGAGAGAGCCCTGCTCTTCCATCCCAGGTGGCAGCTGGCATGAACTACTACCTGGATGTGGAGATCGGCAGAACCACCTGTGCCAAGGACCAGCCCACCCAGGATGACTGTCCCTTCAGTGAGGAGCCGGTATGAGCTTGAAGTGGGCAGGGGCAACTCAGGTAGTGGGGGAGTGTGGTCATGAGATCATGGTGGGGTAGCAGAGCTGGGAGGGTGTGTGGTAGTCAGGAGCAGAAAACATCAGAGTGGGACACACGTGAGTGTGTAGACTTGCACACCTGTGTACATGTGGGTAGCAGAGCAAGGCTGTGCACACGGTTGATTGGGTGCTTATTGATACCCAGGAAGTGCCATGCTAGGAGGTGACCCCTGCCTTTGTGGTGCTCCTGCTAGTGGGGGAGGGGCAGCAGCAGAGCTGGTGAGGAGGGAGGGGTTCTGGGAGAGCCAGTCTCACCCCGCCCACAGCCAGGTTGAGCAGGCCAGGTCTGAGACCACATGCATGCTGTCCTCGGCATCCAGGCTTTCCTGACAGCCTGGGCCATACTCTGAGCAATGAGCCCCTGTCATCCTGCCCATGTACTCTGTCTCTGGGTCCCCAGGCCTGGTTCTTCCCTGGGTGCCTCTCAGTGCTGCCCTGAGCTAAGGTGGAGAGAAACTCAGGTGATAAGCACCCGCCCTTCCTGTGCCTCTGGGCTCCTGGTCCTCCAGGGCTGCTCCCTCGGGGATATGAGGGATGAGGACCTGGGATCCCTGAGCTGGGGACAGCGCCATTCAAGGACTTCCCCTCCACCAGTCCTCCTCTCCTGATGTTCAAGCCAGGGTCCTCCCTCTCTCCTGAAGCTGAACTCACTGTCCCTCTCTCTCTTCCTTCAGCAGAAGCAGCTCTGCTCCTTCAAGGTCTACTTCAGGGCCTGGGAACACTACTTGGTCCTGACAAGTTCCAGGTGTCAGAAGGTTTGAGGTTCTATCCAGGCCACAATGACCACCCCTTACCCAAGACCCCTGCAGCATACTCAATACTGTGATGGAGCCCAGCCCTGCTACAGTCTCCTTGGTGGCCCTGCACCCAAGCTCCAGGACCACAGGCTCCTCAGTATCGTGGACACCCAGGAGCTAGCCCCTCTTCCTTTCTCATGTGCTTCTCAACCACACCTGTAGAGGCAGGACACAGCCACCCCTGCCTTGTTCAATAAAACTTTGCACCAGCTTCCCTGTGTGGTATAGTCTCAGGGTGCAGGGAAGGGTTGGGTAGCTTGGTGTCTACACAGCTTTGTGTCTCTGACTGTCATACAGGTTCCTGCACATAGTCACACCCCTGAGCTGTGGCCAAATCACAGTCACTGAGGCCCCACACCTCATCACCATCAACCATTCCCAGGGCCTCCACTCTCCTTCCCACTTCCTCCAGCTGTGTACAGGGCTCTGACTTGTGCCCTGGGAACCGGGCTTGGAGAAGCTGACCTGGTCAGCCAGACATCTGAGAAGAGTCCCTGACACAGGGCTGGTCCCAGGGCTCCTGTGGCTCATGGTGGGATTTTATTTAACTGCAGGCTAAGTATGAGTCCCTTATGAGAAGTGCTTGGGACCAGAGGACTCAAGGTCTCAGAGGTGTGTCAGGTTATAGGAAATCTCCACATGTGACATTTCCTTGGAATGGGAGCCCTGTCTGGGCACTTCATTCCTGTACCCTGAAGCTAACTGCTACAGCATGATTAATTAGAAGAACAACACTTGAATTGGAAAGTCGGAGGAAGGACAGGAAAAGATCCAGCTTAAGTGGCTGGAGGGGGTCACCCTGATACAGGGGTTCAGGCCGGGCCTCCACAGAGGTAGAAGCCCACTGTCCAGGACTGACTGGAAGGCTGAGGTCCGGGTGCTTGGCATTTCATCATCTCCTCATAGATCTGGGATCTCTATGGGTGAGGGGTGGTTTTCTTTCCAGAAGAGGACTCTGATTCCATGGCCTCAATCAGGTGAGATTTCCCCTTCCCTGGAACCCAGGTGACCCAAGGTCCAGGACAGTGGCTGCAGGCTTCTCGGAAGAACTGAACATCCCTGTCAACCTCTCACTTTGAGTCTTCAGTCTTGAAAGAGAGGAGACCATGAGAATTCAGGGCTGACCAAGCCTGTCCAGGCAGATCCTAAATGACCACCAGGCCCCACACAGAGCTAAGATATCTGACCCAGGATTTATAGTGACAAGGACTCAAATGATGGTCATGCTGTGTTCTGCTATTAGCCACCTATCAGGCATCTGCAGCCTGAGGAAGAGCCATGGATGACTCATGCAAAAATGGTATTTAAGTCTCTGCCTGTCTATTTCTTTTCTTTCCTTTTTTTTTTTTTTTTTAATTTTAGGGAAGGGTCTAGGTGTTCAGGGTTTCACTACTAGATCGCACTCATAGTGATATGCCTGTTTACAACCTCCCAAGAGCAGGGATTACAGGTGCCTGCCACCATGCCCAGTCTTAATTGCCATCTCAGTGCACCCCAGGGGTGAGGCCAGCATGGCAGGCCCTGGGATTGAACCCCTGCACCCTGTGCCTGCTTGCAGGTGCTTTAATCCGCTGAGCTATTTGGCTGGCCCTGCCTGTCCATTTCTATCTCGCAGCAGATTTATTGTTTTTATTTTAATATTTAGATCTTTGACCAATTTTGATTTTAGTTTAGCACATGGTGTTAGATATAGGTCTAGTTTTCATCTTTGGCATGGGGAAAGGCAGTGTTTCCAACATCATTTATGAAAGATGCTATCAAGGATTAGGTGAATGAGTGCACTTGGAGTTGAGTATGCACCTTGCAATTTGTTCCACTGATCCTCGGGTCTGTTTTGCTTTGTTTTGCTTTGTTTCTTTATTTATCTGTTAGGCCAGTACCAAGCCATTTTATCACAGTAATTCTGAAATATACTTTCCAGCCAGGGATTGTGATGCCCCCTGCCTTCCCTTTGTAACCTAGAATTGCTTTTGCTATTCTAGATCTGTTTTAGCTCCAAACTAATTTTAGATTTAATTTCTCTAATTTTCTGAGATACACTACTGGTGTTTTGATTGGGATTGCATTAAATCTGTGTAACAATTTTGGATGTATGGTCATTTTCATTTATTGCTTCCTCCTAACCAAGAACAAGGGACATTGTTCCATTTCCCGATATCCTTTTGGATCTCCCTTTGCAGACTACTGTAGTTTTCCATGTAAAGGTCTTTTACTTCATTAGATTTACTGGCCTGGAAAATGGCCCAGTAGAATAAGCACTTGCCTGGCAAGCACAAGGGTCTGAGTTCAATCCTCGGTTCCTCAAAAAAAAAAAAAAAAAAAAAAAAAGATTGCTCGCTTAGTATTTCATTTCTTGTATGTTTCTGTGAAAAGTACCGTTCCACCCATTTCTATCTCTGTGAATTTTCTTTTTAATTCGTGTACAGAAATGCCATTGATTTTATTTGTGTACAGGAAATACCAACTATGCTAGTGAACTTGGTTTTTAAGTTTCGAGGTCCTTTGCTGGCGTTTTCAGAGTCTCCTATGTAGAGTATCGTGCCGTCTGAAACACTGTTAATTTGACTCCTTCCTTTCCTATCCTTGTTCCTTTCACTTCCGTCTCTGGTCTCATTGCTTGGGCCAATGTTTCCAGAACTTCGTTGCCTTCTGGGTTTTCTCTTGGCTGCTAGAAGGCTGCTTGCATCTTGCTCCCATGGTCTTCTCATTTTCTATTCTGTTTTTAGTTTAATTTCTGGGTTGAGGTAGTAAATTGCTTCTGCAGGTAGCTTTTTGAATAGCGTTGAAAACCCTCACTAAATAATTATTTTTCAATGAGACCTTCCAGATGGAACCGGTTTTGGGGTACTGAGTTTGTTGCAAGATCCTAGTTCTTCAATTTAGAACAGTTATATTACCTTGGCTGACATGGTAAGAGCAACAATAACAAGAGTGTCAAACACAGCCTAGCAAATGACAAGCTGAGGCAACTATTAATTTGCCAGCTTTCACCATACAAACTAGATTTGTAGTTGTGTAACAAAGTCAGCAGCAAAGCAGAAAATGTTATATAGCAAATATGCCCTCAATATGACAACTTTCCCCTCAAGGGAGAAAAATTTAAAAGGCATTGGGCCAGGGGAGGGGGGAATAGAGTGACATAAGAAGGGAAGGAGATTAGAATGGGCTACTGGACCGTATTGGATTATTTTGCTGAATTCACGCACCTACAATACTTAAATGGCAATGGAATACCCATGTCTGACAAAACTAAACAAAAAAAGGGATACAAATGAAGGACTGTAGATAGATAGATAGATAGATAGATAGATAGATAGATAGATATAGAGATATATATTTTGTACATATCTTTATATACAAAATAGTCAGGATAGATATACAGCTACTTTCTCTTAATTCAATGAGAAGAAAGATTTGTAGTAATAGCGTTCAGACAGGATATCAAGTCTGCATCTTATACTATGATAACCACTACAGAGACAACAATATGCAATGTGTTAATTATTGAAACCGTCCTATTAATCGGTTTTGAAACTGTTTCCTTGCTATTTGTTTCTCAACAAAATTAATTTTTTTTTGGCAGAACCAGGGATTGAACTCAGATCCTTGCATTTGCCAGTCAAGCTCTTATCCTACTGAGCCATCTCCCCGGCCCCTACAAAATTAATTTTAAAAAAGAAGCCAGGCTGGAGAACAAAAGGAGATGACGTGAACTTTGGGGAACTGGTTAAGAAGGTGGGAGGAAAAGAGAGAAAGAAGAAATAAAAACATGGACAGAGCAACAACAAAACTTATAAACAATGTTCACACTCATAAAAACAAGAAAAAGTAATCATAAAAAAAAATCAAAACAAAAAGAAAGTAGAGGAAATTGATCACCACTTCAGGGCATGTCTCTGCTGTCACTAGTAGTCAAGGTGGGCAGGCAGAGTCCAGATCTGATTAATTCCAGCAAGCCAGCTGTAGCTTTACAGCAGGGTAGTGGATAATCCCAGCAGGTCTGCTTGCTTAGCTTTGCCAATGTTCAGGATGATTTCTGGTTTGAGCTTGGAACTCAATGCGTTTAGTCTGGAACACCCTGCTTGCCTCCAGGTGGCTAGAATTGGCTCCCTGCCACCTTGAACTTAGCTCCTTGACCTCCTGCCAGCCTGAATTCACCTTGCCCAGCCACTGGAGGAGCTAGGGGGAGCCAGCCCACAACCACTCTGAGTCCCAAGCATGCTTGGCCTCTCTCTAGGGAGCCTACCAGCCAGCTACCCTTTCTTAGGGGAATCTGGACTCAAACAACTCCCCAGCCACTGCAGTCCCTTGTGTGCACTGCTGTCCCTTAGTACACTCCTCTATGGAGCTCTCCAGCACTGCCAGTAGTCACCAAGCAACATCCGCAGGAGTGAGCAGCCCCTCCTGTGCAGTGAGTCAGGGCTCAGGGCGAAAGTGCCACCCGCCAGCTCCTTCTTCTACCTGGAGTTCTCTCTCTTCACTCTCCCCACATGCTTCAATTCTTGCTTCCTGTCCTTCCTGGGTCATGGGAACCCACTTTCTTCTGTCTCTTGTTCCCATTGCTATACTCCAGCATCTGGATACCAAACCTTGGTAAGGATATTTTGCTGCTGTCCATCGCTCCAACATCTTCCCAGAAGTGTGTATCACAGACTTTCTGCAACTTACCTTAGCTTTCTTTCTGATTTTGTCCATATCTTTCTTTTTTTCATTTTATCAAATCTTTTTAGAACAAGTTTAGCATCATAGAAGCAACAAGATAAGATTCATTCCCACGCATGAGTACTTGCTTCTGTTTGATTGCCTCCAACAGATCTTATCCTGTTCTGGGAGCACCTCACCATCACAGACCATTGAGCCTCAGTAGAGACAGGAGGAAGCAGGATTTCCCAGTTCCAATCTTACCTGTAAAGTGGGAGATGGCAGCCTTGTACAGCCCCTGCCCTCAATTTATAACTTATAATTTTATAATAGAACTC